CCCAGTTGGTGAGGGTCGCAGGTAAAATCCCGGAATGAAGTCAAACCCCGACCATGATCTTCCCACCCGGCCATGTGCCACCAGGCTTCCAAAGTCCACACATAATCCGAGACCCCCACGACCCGGATTTTCCCGCCAGGTCGGCGGTACTGAGGGCGTTGCCCTGGCCAGGAAGCAGGATAGCGCGCGCTATGCCTGAGCATCACTGGCGGATTGCATCCGGCCAGACAGGTTTTCGGCCAACAGATCATCCGAGCCCCCGCCCCCCAAACACCCCGCGCGGCCCGCATTTTCCCTTGGTGTGATGCGAGGAGCGTTGCTGGCGAAGCGGAATGGCGCTATGCACGAAATCACCCGGCGGATTGCATCGGCGAGCGAGGTTTTGACCCTTGGTCATCCGAGGCCCCCCAGCGGCCCATTTCCCTTTGGTCGGCGTGCGAGAACGTTGCCACTGGCAAGCGAGGATAGCACGCTATGCACGAGCCACCCGGCCGGATTGCATCCGGCCACAGACAGGTTTTCGGCCAACAGAACATCCGAGCCCCCCCCCCCAACACCCCGCGCGGCCCGGAATTTCCCGCCAGGTCGGCAGTACTGAGGGCGTTGCCCTGGCTTCTGGTTCTGCCGCCCGTGCGCGCGCCGCGCGGTATGCCTTACCTCTTGGCCCGGCAGGTGCTGGGTCCATGGTGTGGCTGGTGGGGCGGCAAGGGTTGGAGACTGCGGCAGCACCAGAAGAGCGACCAAATAAGGTCAGCGGTATGTGGACGCTGGCTGAGCCACGCTGGCAATCAACCCGATCCGCAGATTCGGAAATCAGTACTTACTGCCTGTCATCCGCTGATTCGGCACACACGTCCGCTGCCATCCGCTAAATTAGCGGATGGGGTGCGCGGCTTCCGGTCCGTTGGAAAATATCCATTAACGCCCAAGCGGAATCCGCAGAGTCCGCTGACTGGCACCAGCCGTCCGCTGCCATCCGTGCCACGTCAGCAAGAGAGAGAGCGGGGTCCGCTAAATTAACGGATATTTAACGGACGGCACCCTCGTCCGTTATTAACGGATCCGGGTGGCCACCTCTAATGGTGACTCAACACAGAGTCAACTCCTTTTTCCTCATACTCAACTCCCTCTCCATCCCACAGCTAACCGAACTCACTCTATTAGAGTGGGCCGGGCGGGTGCAAAACAAGATAAAGGGGGGCGTTGTACCGCACTAACCGGTACCCGGGGGTATCGACAACCCCCTATGATAACCAGCCCAATAGGGCTACGGTTACGATAGTGTAGGGGTTAGAGTTGCTACACTGGTACTAGGGCGGTGGCCACCGGTACCTGGGGTACCCCCAGGTACCGGCGCTCGGGTGTGGCCCCAAGTACGTAGTACTTGGAGTCCGGTGCTGGATCCCGGCTTAATGGCCTTCGAGCGCCCGCACTGAGAGGGCTTCTCTCACCCCCTGTTGCGCGCTGCCGCGCAACAGGCGCCAAAGGTTGCGCATAAAATAGCCGCTCCCACTTGCCGCCAAACTCCCCGCCAAACCCAAGGGCCAGCTTGACTGGTCCCCTTGGCTGCGCCCAAGGTACAAGGTTCAACTCCACTGCCCTTGGATGCGGCGGGCAGTACTGACCCCGAGTACAGGGGTGACAGAAACCGGCATATGGATGGCCCCCAAACTGTCCAAGAGGTGGAACGGCCCGACCTCCCAATCGTCGCCCTTTGTAGAAACCCATTAACAGGATAGTTAATTCCATTTCAGCCGGCGAGCACTACAAAAACAAAGTTTGGAAGGACACGGGGGGGCTCCAACCTCAGCCAATTGGGTTGAATCTCAATGCCAACATGGGCGCCGAATGGCAGCGGCAACCCCCATTCAACAACGTGGGGACCATGGGCGTCCCCAAGCGCTCCCATTTTGCCTTTCGGTTCCTTCTCCAAACAGATGCGCCGTCAGTGCAATTATGAGAGAAGGTCCCGTGGATCGTGCTAGGTTGGTATGGCAAATTTGATGCCAACATCCTGCGCACGAATTATCGCCGGTTACTATTTTTTTTGCAATAGTGGATTGTTCTTTTCTGCGACAGTGCCAAACTACTCTTTTTTGCGACAGTGGCAATAATTGATGCGCGAGATGTTGGCATCAGATTTGCCACACCACCCCTGCACCGTCCACCGGGCCTCCTCTCACAACGGCGCTGAAGGCGCGTCTGTTCGGAGAAAGGACTAAAAGGCAAAATGGGAACGTTTGGGGATGCCCAGGTTCCCCACCTTGCGGAAGGGGGCTGCCGCTACCACTCGACGATCACTTTGGCGCTGAGATTTAGTAGAATCGACTGAGGTTGCAGCCCCCTGTTTCCTCCCTAACTTTGTTTTTGCCATGCTAGCCCCCTGAAATGCAACCACTTGGCCGCGCGGGGAGACGGCGCCGTGAACTGGGACCGGGGAGTGTTGCTCGTGACGCCGGACGGGGAGGCCAAGGCGCTGGTTGCCAGCGCCATTGCCGTCCAAGCATCGACCATCAAGGCGCCCACGCCCAGCGCCGTTGACTGGTCATACGACCAGGTTTCGCTGCTGGGTGGGGGCACGCCCTGCGAGCCACGACCTGTGGCGGGTTGCCACTAGAGCCATTTCAGCGATTGGCGCAACCCTAGTGCTCGTTTGGCGCCGCCTGGCCCTGTGCATCACCCAGACCCCAAACAAGCACAGCATTGACTCGTGAAGTTCGAGGGAGCGGAAAACGGTCCTTCGGGCAGCGAACAATAGCGACGGCGGCTGCTAGTGGCCGGTGGCAAGTGACGGGTGGAGGGGGGCGGGGGGAGGGTAGGCGAGCTGGTTCAAAGGCCCGCTGCCTTCCCAAGTTGTGCATTAGTCATGTTCACTGTCGCAAAAAGGAACAATCCACTGTCGCAAAAAAAAGTAGTTTGGCACTGTCGCAAAAAAGGGGTGCCGGCCATTTCGTCTAAAGACAATTCGTCTAACGGACAACTGGTCTAAGGACATTACGTCTAACGGACAACTCGTCTAAAATTTCGTTGACCCAAGTTGACTCACTCATATCCACATCGCAGAAGCAGTCGGTGCCCCGGGGGCCCTCACCCGTCCAGCGCATTCCCCCAACCCCAAGAACCAACTCATTCACATCCCAATTCCAGCTGAAGCCAGTGACCCGAGGGTCATCACCCGTTCAACGCATTCCCCTAACCCCAAAAACCAACTCACTCACATCCGCATTCCAGCTGAAGCCGGTGACCTGAAGGCCCTCACCCGTTCAGCGCATTCCCCTAAACCCCAAAACAACTCACTCACATCCGCATTCCAGCTGAAGCCGGTGACCTGAGGGCCCTCACCCATTCAGCGCATTCCCCTAAACCCAAAACCAACTCACTCACATGCGCATTCTTGTTGAAGCCGGTGACCTGAGGGGCCTCACCCGTTCAGTGCATTCCCCTAAACCCAAAAACAACTCACATGCGTGTAACTTTAGTAACTTGTGTACTCCACCACCCGGTTCCTTGTGTGGAGGTGCCCGTGAGCGTGGAGCTTCAACGCCCTTTGTCCACGAATCAATTCCCACTGTGGACTGGGGTCGCGTTGGCCTGCCTCTCCCGTCGATCCACCTTCTTGCCTTGGCGGATCTGCTGGCTCCCTCGCTAGAGGTGGCCATTCAAGGGTGCCATCCGGTCCGTTAAATCCGGTTCGTTAATTTTTATCAGCTGTCCGTTAAATTTCGTTAAAGAAAAAGGGAGAAAAATTCAGAAAAAACAAAAAAAAATCCAAAAAAATCGAAAAAAACCGAAAAAATCACAACAACTGCGGCTAGTTGAAAATCTAGTATGCATAGGTTGAAATAAAATACAAACATACTCTCTAATAGCGAATTCCATAAACTATAAGTATGACTAAAACCAAAAAATCCCCAAAAAATCCGTTAATTTTTGGTTAATTTTTGTCTTTTTTCGTTATTTTCCGTTAATTAACGGAAAATTAACGGAAATTAACCTTTGTCCGCTATTAACGGATCTGGGTGGCCACCTCTATCCCTCGCTGCCAATTGGTGCTGCCATTGGATTGCCTCTCCCATCGATCCACCTTCGGCGCTTGCAGAATCTCCGTGCTCCATGTCTGCCGGTCGCCCCTCCCTTTCGCCACCCTCCCCCGTCGATCTATGTTCGCCCCTTGGAGGATCCGCCGGCTCCATCGCCACCGATCGGAGCAGACGTTCGGCTACCTCCCCCGTCGATCCACCTCCACGCCCAGTAGATTCTCCGCTTTCCATAGCTGCCAATCGACGCCGCACACTGCGCAAACCGTGGCACACCCGCCAGCCACGCGCCTGGATGGGTGCTCACCCTCCCGTGCTGTCCCGCCCCCTGTGCGCGCGTCAGGAACGCGCCCAGGAACCAGTTCGGAATGCAGCCCGCCACTAACGGAATGAAATGTAATTGTAGCTTAAATGCAGTTAATGGGCGCTGTTTAGACGAGTTGAGTCAACTCGTCTAAAGACAACCCGTCTAACACAAAGACGGAGTCAATGTTGCTATTGACTTCACCATAGGGCACTTGAACACACGCGACGGTTTTGAAAACGAGTGGTATTCATAACAGGGAAGTTTGTGTCACAGGTACACAACCAACCTATGGCCGCGTTGAGGGTGGATAACTCGTTAGACGAGTTGTCCTTAGACCAAATGTCCTTAGACCACTTGTCCGTTAGACGAGTTGTCTTTAGACGAATTGGCCGGACACCGCAAAAAAGAATAGTCCACTGTCACAAAAAGAAATATTCACCATTATCGCCACTGTCGCAAAAAAGAACATGTCGCAAAAATATGAACAATTTCACTGTCGCAGAAAAAAATTGTGACCTCAATTCCGCCCAACATTTCCACATTTTGGGAACCGGCCCGCCTCCCCAAATGCCAGAAACTCCGCCCCGCCAAAACGCCCCCGTCCAGCCCCCTACCCGCGTTTGCCTACCCAGCCCTGCGCCGGCGACCAAGGCGCCATGCACCCCGGGCGCGGGTCCTCCCGCGAGGTGGCCCGCCGCATCGACGCCCTGGGCTCCGGCCTGCGGGATCTGGCATCCGGCCTGGCCGACGAGGCCGCCAGGCTGCAGCGCGACCTTTCCAGCGGCGTGAAGATCAGCCTGCCGCAGTTCAGGGACCACCTGCGGGACCTCGAGGGCGACATGGCGGCGCTGGAGGAGGGCGTGGAGCGCCTGGAGGGCCGCACGCTGGGCGCGTGCTCCCTGCAGGAGTTGGTGGGCCACGGAGAGCAGGCGTACTGGCGGGCGCTGGAGGGCGTGGCCAACCTTGAGGCCCACCTGAGGAACTACGGTTACGCCGGCGGCTGCCCCGATCCCGCGCCGCCGGACCCGTTTGCCGTGGCGCGATCCGGCGCTGAGAATCTGCCGCCCGGGAAGGGCAGCAGGGTTGATAGGGAGGGCGGGGGTAGCGCGAAGAAGCGGGCGAGGGATGCGGTCGGTGGGGTGGGAGCAGATGCGGGGATGCGGCACGCGGACGGAGGGGCGATCAGGCGGAGGACGGAAGGGGGGGAGGATGCAGGGACTGCGGGGGACGCGCCCTCGCCCCGGACGCCGGCGCCGGCACCGCGACTGGGCGGGCCGGTCGGCGGGCGCGCCGGCGCGGGGCCGAGCGGAGGAGTGGGGCGGGGTGGGAGCTTGGGCAGCGTGGAGTCATCGTCGATCGAGGGCCTGATCCTCAGCCCCTCGCTGCTGGCCCTGACTAGGAAGTACGCGACCCAGTCGCCCGAGCAGGCTCCGTGCCGGGACACCGTCCTCGAAGGCAGGGACGCTCGGATTGGGGAGGCCGGGGAGGGTACCTGCCGGGCTGGCCGAAGGAAGGATCCAATCGGGGGGCCGGGAGGGGACCAAGCTGAGGCGGGTGCCGGGCGCACGCCGACGGCGTCCCACAGGGACCAGGGCCCAGATGGATTGGCCTTCTTCAGGTTTCCAGACCATGTTGGCGGTTCAGACGGGTCTCGGGCAGCCAGCGGGGCCTTCGGATCCCCGCAGTATGCCGACAAGGCCGCGGAGGTTTCCGCGGCGGTGAAGACGCCTTTGGCTGCGAGGACGCCGAAGTGCGCGGCCGGTTCCGAGTTGAGCGGGACCCGGCGGAAGCAGCCAGCGTCGGCCCTGCGGAGCTGCCTGCGGGGCAGCGCCATGGGGAGGCGGTCGGCCCAAGACGACCCGCCGGCGGCGCGCAAGGCGGTGACCTTCACACCCGGCCTGGTTGCCGACAGCCCCATCCGAGGCGACTACGGCAGTCCTCCCACTCCCACGGGGCCGGTGCCCATGCCTGTCCCGTGCTCGGGCGGGCAACCTGGATGGGCCAGCCCGTTCGCAGCGACAGGGCAGCCCGGTGACGTTCGCGAAGGCAAGCCCAGCACCCATGCGGCCTCCATTCCAGTGCAGGCGGCTGTGCTGCCAGCCATTGCATCGCCCAAGCTCCAGGAGAACGGAACCACACCGCAGGCACTGACGCCTGCCGCTTTGCAGGCTGATCTGGCTGGGACGTCCAACAGTGCGCTCCTGCTGCCCTGCACAACGGCTGCCCCACCCTTCATGGGTGGCAAAGATATGTCCACGCTGGATGGCAAGGATGTGTCCCATTGCGTGGCATCAACACCTGTTGCCCAGCCGGCCGGCACGCACCCAAGCCCCACAAGCTGTGCTGCAGGCAGTGGCGTCCGTCCGCCAGTCATGGAGAGGTTGGCAGCCGAACGGCCGTGCCCACTTTCCCTTTCTAGCTGCCACGCGCCGGCAATGCTGGCCGATGGCGACCTGTTGGCGCTGCCGGCATTTTACAGGGGGACGTTTTCGTTGGGGGAGCTGAACTCGGTGATTCAGAAAATCTGGGAGTCGAGCAGGGCACGGGGTCAGGTGGCGTTCACCCCTGACGATTTCATTGGTCTCAAGTCTGGGTATGAAGTCAAGATGATGCTGAACTGCCTCAGGACGCTGGAGTATGTGGAGATGGATTTTGACAACTGCGGTGTGGTGTACAAACCGGGGGCAAAACTGCAAGGGCGATGGAGCTCTGAACGGAAGTTTGACAGGTAGCGGGCAGGAGGAGTGGCCTAATGCCCAGCGAAGAGCATATACATTTTCGACCTCTTTTAGCTGCTAGTAGGGGTTGAGTTCGTCATTGGCCCGTTGGATTGATGACGGTGTGCAACCATTTAAACGCAATTTTGTGCAAAGCTGTGGTGTTCCGACGCGTCTGTGGAGAGTTTGATAAGATGCTATGCACAGAGATTGGAAGTGCTTGCACGTCAGAAGGGCCACGTACTAGCGAGCGTGAAGGTATCATCGCGAAACGCCTGCAGCTTGTCAATCATTAGTTCTGACCCTACCGAAGTTGGCACTCAGTCGTGAACGCTATATACTGAGATGAAATGCTGTGCCCCCCTCGACAAGCCCACCTTCAATGTTCTTTGCCACATGGACAAGTTGCCGGTGTTCGGCATGGGTTCTGGCGCAAGGGCAGGTCATCACAATGGGAGCAGCACTTGCGGCGCCACCCTGTTGATTCGAGCAACTTTACACCCTTGTATCCAGGCAACCATTCCCCAACAATAAAAAAGTCAAACCCACCCGGTGCCTTCCCTTCATCCACACAGCATGGCCACGCCCACCCCCTTCGGAGCCGGCTCATGACGTGAGTCGGTACATTATGCAGATCCCACTGGAGCCCACGCATTCGTCTCAATATCATACTTAACCCACATCCCATCTAAGGCGCTTCAGCATCAGGCCTGGAGGTGCAAGGGCTGTCCTGGCATCTACCGGCAAATGCAATCACATACATGGGCTGTGCGCAACGCTCCCCACTTGGCCTGCACCACGCCACCTGGACACAGCCCAGGCGTCTGTAAACGTGCCACGAACAGGCCCATGGTGTTCGCGAGCCACTCGACATCTGCCATCACAGCGAACCCCTGGCAGTCGATCGTGTCCTTGGACACTGGCCTTAGGACCTGGGGCCCTCCTCCCCGTCTGCGGCCCTCAGGGAACCCAGCTCCTCAGGGGCGCCCGTGGACACCACCATGCTCTTGGCATACTCACTGACGTCCACGCCCTCCTCCGCACCGATCTGCGATTTGATCCAGAAGTACGTGATCTTGAGGCCATCGGCCAGCTTCACGGATGGATTCCAACCCAGCTTCTCCAGGATGAGGGAGTTGTCTGAGTTGCGGCCGCGCACGCCCTCGGGCCCGGGAATGTGCTTGATTGGGAGGTCCTTCCCGTCGAAGGACTTTACCAGTTCCATCATCTCGTTCATGGACACCATCTCGTCGCTGCCCAAGTTCAGAGGCTCGCGGAAGTCAGACTTGGTGATCCGAAGGATGCCTGTGTGCAACAGGACGAGTGAGTATTCATACCGTTTAAAGTGTTACTGACTTGAACTGCAACGAAATTTTTAACGAATTCTACCGCACGTCTCATCTGCTGCTACAAAAAGAACTGTGCCAGTGCATTCGCTATTGAAAATTGATACGATTGTTACTATGAATTGCATAAATGATTCGCGCTAACCGAAGACAATGGAAGGGCATTTAAATCAGAGCAACCACAGATAAACCTGACAGGGAAAATGGAGGCCACTTGTGGAGTACACAAAGCCAGAGGTTCTGGCCTTATTCTGGTCCCTGGGTTCACACTTTCGCAACTGCCAAGGTTCTGAACTCCTACTAAATTCTTAACATCTGGTTTCCAACAAAGCTTTTTGAACACAAGTTTCACATCCGTTAGGCCAACACCTGCACTCCAGTGCCCGTGAAGACAGATTATCCATACCTTCAACACAGTCGTCGATGAACGTGAAACTCCTCGTCTGCTTTCCATCTCCCCACATCTCTATCTCATCTGGGCTGGTCAACACTTTCCTGCAGAAGGCAGCAGGTGCTTTCTCCCGGCCACCCTTCCACGTTCCGTGGGGGCCATAGATGTTGTGGAACCGAGCGATGCGGCACTCGATGTTGAAGTCCTTGTTGTAGTGCATGCAGAGCTCCTCTGTTGCAAGCTTCTCCAGGCCATATGCATCCTGCGGCTGTGGGTATCAACATTCCAGGTTGTTAGGATCTGGGTAGAGCACTTGAGACAGTGCATGCACGTGAACCCATCACAGGCTCACTAGTGAGTGGGTGCAACGTGCACAATAGCACATGCACTCGATTGAGGTAAGCCAGTTACGTTGTCAACGTTGATTATTATTGCTTCGTCTGTTAACTACTGTTAATTTGCAACTTCAACGATAATGCGACCCAGAGCAACTTTCAAGCACTCTGCTTTCCACTGGTCACAAATGTACATGACAGCATAACTTGGCACCGCCAAACAGGTTTGCCTAACAGTGCAAATCTTTACCACACACGTGTGTATAGGCACTGGAAGCTATCGCACATTCAAGAATTAGATTAACGTTAGACAACACAAAATAGAGTAAAACTGCAATGTCGCTGGACTATGGAAGATGAGAAGTAGAAGCAAATAGAAATGCACACCATCAGGAGATCAGCAGTGTCCACAAGAAACAATTGAGTCGTGGGGTGTGAGCACTTGCCTGTGCAGGCCAAGCAACAGACTCCTTGAGCCCTCCCCCTTCAATTTCCGTATCCAGCTGTGCATACTCGGGATAAATGCATGCACTAGAAGCATAAAAGAACCTGCAGAAAGCCATTCGAACACGTCAGGCCCACTGTGCAACACTGAAGTATCGTTCGTTAGTTCACCTGAGATACGATAAACGACTGTGGACAGCGCACCTTGGCAAGATTGGTTGAAATTGTGCACCACACAAAACTTGAAAATGCGGCTACTGTCCCGACCCTTTGCTCCGCAGTGGCACTAGTCGGAACAGATTGCAACTGGGTATATAGCAACGGTGTCACCCAAATACGGCGCCGGGTCCAAGCAGCTCTTGCACATCGCACCATTAAGCTTGCACGTTCTGTTGATGGGCGATTGGGCAATACACGAATTCCCTATTCATTCACCTGGGCTGACGGCGACAAGCACATCAGCCCCTACGAGACATCTTCACCAACTGCTGCCCACCTCTGGATCTTATTCTGGCGAGCAGCCTCCAGCATGTTGAAGCTGATCATCGTGTTGTTGTACAGGATCGCGCCGTGGTTGGACTGTATGAAGCCCATGCCACCCATGTCCGCCGCAAGGTTGAACACGTGGTCGCAGCCCGCGCACACCTTCTTGCAGTTGTCGAACACCCGAAGGTCCACCAGGTGGAACTCATGGCAGAACTCTTCTTCCTGAACATTGCAAGCCGAACCAAAATGCGCGTCAGCACCTGCAGGGTGGCAGGCCGAGGCATCGGCTGTGACAAGCGCACACAAATGCAACAAAAGCGCTGCGGCGCGCGAAATCAAATGAGCAGCGTTCGTGATCGGAAGCGAAGACGTCTGTGTGCCCTGCTTCTCATGTACACCTGTCGAAGCGCCATCCATCCAAAGCAAAGCGAGCGGATGCGCCGCCACTGAAGGTGGGCGCGTCCGCAGCTTGCGATGCCACAGTGCGCACAAGGGTCCTCCTAGGGATTCCGATACCCTTTGGGCGCCGCATTCCATTCCATTCCACTTCGAGAAGCCAATCGCGCGATCCATCCACTCAACCCGTCCTTCGATTCTTTGACCAGCGCTGGCCCACCAACGCACGCCGATCCTCCGGAAGCGGCAGCAATCCAGGCATGCCCACCCCGCCCACGCGTCGGCCCTCCAGTCTGCAGCGCAGCATCGAGCCCAAAGCGCCTGACCGAAGCGGCGACCTCCGCCCGCAAAATGTCCACGACAAAACGACAAAATGACACAGCATCGCGCCCCCGGCCCACCTTGAAGTGCTCGTTGCGCTTCCAGTCGCATCCCACGACGTAGTGCCCCTCCGACTTGAGCCGCTTGGCCAGGTGCGACGCAATGAACCCCCCCGAGCCCGTGACGCAGACCCTCAGCTTGCCCTCCGGCCAATACGGCTCGAAGGGGTACTTGGCCAGCCCGGACACCGCCTGGTAGTCCTGGTGCACGCCGGCGGCCGCCATGCCGATCGCACCCCGCTCCCTTGCCTCGGCTTTGGCGGCGGGCTTGGGGGCGTGCCGATCGTCTGCTGCCTGCCTCTGTGCTCGTTGCGGGCGTGTGCTCCGTGCTCAGGGCGAAGCCGCCCGGCCTTTTTTCAACCCCGGGGGGGGCCGATTGGAGTGCGACACGTCGGGTGCCGTGTGGTGAAAAGGTGTGGTGGGGGCTGGGGGGGTGGGGCTGACGCACGGCCGTCGGTGCTGACTTCGCGCCGCCGCGCCACGTGGAGGGAGGGAGGGGCACGGACGGGCGGGGCGGACGCCACGTGACGAGGGGGACAGTCACCGGGCGGCTGGCCAGGCGCTGGCAAGGAAACGGGGGTTCTGGCTGGGGAATGGGGCGGCCGCCCTGGCCGCTGAATATGCCGAATCCGCGGCGAAGAAGTTGGTTCTTTGGTTTTGGCTGTCCCGTGGCTGGAAGTCGGGCTTGCGGGGCGTGCGGTGCGGCTGTGGTGCTGCGCCACAAGTTTGGGAACTTGCGGTCGCGAAGGCTGAGGATTAGTTAGACCCCGTGTCATCCGCGGCGCGCCACAGGCCGCGCGATGCAACATCTGGGCCGCACATGACATGTGCAACATCGTCATCCACGCCGCCGTCGATTGCCGCTTCTAGACTTTTCCAATGGCTCGTAGGCTCGGGCCGTCTCGAGCGCTGCACATCGCCTGTGCCGCTCAACTGTCGAGATGAACATAATGAGCAGTGATTGGGCAGCAAACTGTCAAGGACCGTTGAACTCGTCCAGACCCCAACGCCAATGACATGTTTTAAACGTGTGCCGTTGTATGTCCCATAAGAAAACGATTCGAATAAGACTCATGACACATGAATATGACAGAATTTCCTGTCGCTCTCTTGATGCAATTACCGCGACGTGCAGACATGGGCTAACCCATCAAGTGCCCGGGGCCTGTTCGGGTTCAGGCCACGTTCCCCAGCCCCAGTTGGCTCTGACACAACCCGAGAACTATTCACAGTCTCGAAATTTTGACAGCGCTTCCAGATATTTTGGGTATATCTGAATGACGTTGTCTTGTGAATTTGCCCACTTCCGTCCATTTTTTTCAATAATCGATGCACCTGTTCTGATTGCATTGGCACGCCGTCTCTTCCACTGCTGCCCCTGGCGATATGCTCGGGTTATCCTTTGCGGCGAGATCAGAGATCAGAGGCCTGCACCAACCCGGTCATGGCCCGAACAACAGTACCAACCATGCGCTGTGGGGTCTTCAGTCATCGATGGGTGGCTGCCATTCCGCGCGCTGAATGCGGACTCGCCCGCCACAAAGGCACCCTCCCAAATGGAGAATATATTAGTCCCTCTGTCTTTGGGTGCGGATCCCATCTTCTTCCGCTGACAAGGCCAACGCCGGTCAGTGGGTCACTGGTTCGTGGTTTAGGGTTCAGGGTGTGCGAAACAAGAATGGCTCGTCACGGATGACTGGTTTCATGCCGGCCCAAACAGGGTGGAAACTACCCTGCTTGGCATTGCCATGGATGGGGTCAGTCGTCGCCCCAAGGTGGCGGTGGCCGTGCTGGTGACCAGGGGGGCCAAAGTGCTGGTGGGGCAGAGGTGAGGGGCCGCGTCGCCGGCTGCAAGGCGCAGCCGCGACTTCCAGGCTTCGATTTTGGGGCCTCACGATCTTGATGTCTGCCGTCAGGAAGG